CGATTCAATGGATTGCGGTGAACTAGGTATACGTTTCAAACGAACAACACTCACAGCGCTCATTTGAGGTTTAAAATTTGATTCAGATAGATCTATGGCCATTGTTGATTGTGAAGGAATACTTATTCCATTTTGTTTATCCTTCTCATCTGAATTTATTAAACAAACGTTTGATACTTTTTGTGGTATTTTAATTACCGTAACTGGTGGTGTGGGACTACGTTTTATTTTAAGAGGTTCAACTACTTTTGTGGGCATATTTGGTAAGTTAATCAGAGCGTTTCCCCGCCGCTCATTAACGTCATTGCTCATTCTGTTGGATCGTTCCACTGTAATCACTCTTACACTGGATTTCTGACTGAGATTCGTCGAGAATTCATCTAAATCAAATATACTTGTATTTAAATCCATTGATGAGTAACCACTACTTTCACTGTGTTGTTCGCCAGATGTAGCTTTTGTTTTATCGAACAAGCTTTACTAAAACATTTTTTTACATGTGGTAATAAACATTCATGGAATGCGCCAAGTTCATCAATAGTTGTTAATGTTGAACTCCTAATAGTTTTAATTACTAAATCAATGTAATAAAATTCAAAATCACCAACATTTTTCCTTTTTTTTCTTGAAAACCCTCTACTAAAAACAGATTTATCAAATAGAAAAGTTTAATTCATATTTTGTTCTAACACTACGGTGAACCTACAGGCAACAGCAATAGCAAACAAAACAGAAAGCTAATAAACCTAATGCGAATGAAATAATTAATGGTAAATACAACGTAATTGGGACTAAAATGATAAAAGAATAAAATTAGTGGTAGGTGGAAAGAGAAATATTTGTAAAATACGCTAACACTTACTAATATTCATGAACAGTTCAAAAGTAAGTTTGGTATAACTATTGGGAGGGCACACCTAGAAAAATACCGAAAATAGATAATTAGGCATATTGTGCAGGCGGTTTTCAACATACTAAAAGTCAGTCGAAAAATTTGGTTTTGTGTCTTAAAAACAAATACATTTCTGTACTTTTCATTGTGTGTTTGAATAAATTTTTTTCAAAAAATCATCATGGCTACATATTCACAAAACATGCATCTTGCCTGTTATGGACTACATTTGTATTGTTTTTGACAATGATTTCAAGTTATACTTAGATACACTAACATCTGTACATAAATTAGCTGCACGAATTATTACTAACGATTATCGTCCTAGTAGTTTTTTCATATTCTGAAACTGGAATTGTCGGACTTACGAGAGAATCGATTTAACTGTCAAATTGTTTTTTCAGTGAGACCTAGTGGATTATAGGTTATCGACTATGCTGATTCCGAATATGACCACGACAGCTGCTTATAGATCTCCAGAAATTGGGTTTTTGGAGAGACAGTTTTTCAGAAACTCTAAAATATAACCAAAACCTTTCTTCATGAGGCACAGCCCGCACATTTCTGATTCAAATGAGACATCTCACAGCTCTACAGGACCTTTCTTTCCAAACTGATAGAATTTATAATAAAAGCCCTAAATGTTCATTGTCAGCTCAGTGCTACAGAAATAAGAAGAACTTAATTTAGGGCTTTTATTGTAAATTCTATAAGTTTGGAAAGAAAGGTCGCGTCGGACTGAGAGATGTCTCATTTAAATCAGAAATTTGCTGGCTACAACTATGTCCCATTAAGAAAGGTTTTGGTTATTCTTTAAAATTTCTGAAAAATTCGTTTTCCAAAAACCAGTTCTCTGGAGATCTATAAGCAACTGCCGTGGTCATATTCGGAATCAGCATAGTCGATAACCTACAATCCACTAGTTCTGATTGAAAAAAGGATTTGATAGCTAAATCGATTCCCTCGCTGGCCATCCGACGTAAATACTTTAGGTTAATGTTTTTTCATAAAATTATTACGGGATGTACTCCCTGTGAAAATAAAGTTATTACTGAGTGTAATTACTGTATTACTCTCTCTCTTTCTCTTTGGCTGATTATTCTGACTTCTGCTCGAACTTCGAATCGTTGTCTTTGCGAGAAAGTTTAGAAGAAAAACCTATATCCTTTCTATCAAAAACTATATTACATTAGAATGTGCTCCCTAGACACGTCATCGCTTCCTACGCTCTACAAGCTTTCAAACGTGCCTTGAATATATATATCTGTGTTCATATGAAATAGACATATGTTAATCCATAGTTTTATTTCACATTTCTGTTTCACTTTTCCATTGTTCAAAAGAACTTCTACTTTCTACTTTTCTTTTTTCTTCATGTTTCTTTAACAGAAGATCCTGATCAGATGTTTCTTTTACAGTAGTAAATATATGTTATGTGCCGATTCTTTATATTATTTTGAAGTCTTAAACGGAAGTTTGAAACGCCAACCTTGGACTTTTTCGGATCAGTTTAAACCGAACGTCGGTTTCTTTGGTGTCGGTTTGAAAACTGAAACCGATGCATACCTACACAAGATGCAGTATGGTCGATAACCTGCCTTTCCATGCGTTCATGAAATAGATTCGAGATCAAGTACGTAGTCTCAATATCCAGAAAGACCGAAATCAAAATACTTCAGTTCAATGCCGGATGTTCAAACCAATCACCATTATCATGATCGATTCACCATTATTGCTCTAATTGAATATTTGAATTGAATCGAAATTTTTTTAAAACCATCTAGAGGCGCCTTTGGAGCTGTTCAAACATGTTTGAATGTAGCTTCCACCTATCAAGCATTTAACATCAATTTGATTAGAACAACAGATTCTTAAATAAGGGTAATTTTCTACAACACATAATGCCGTAATAGCAGAAGCGTATAACTTGTAAAGTTTATCAGAAATAATTTGTGATTGTTAGTAATATTCCTGGAGAAAGTACGTATTTAGTAGTACTAATTTCTACTGTACGTGTTTTCGCATACCCGTACTATTAGTGGTACTAGAGAAAAGTTGTAGTTTCATGCTAATATAGTACTGCTGGTTATACTACCGTAGTAATTTCTTTTTGCATAGTGCTAATGTTACTACAGTCATCGTTTTGTTTTGTTTCGTTCACTAAAACCAATTTTACATAACAAAATCCTAACTTTATTTTTTAGATGTAAAAATAAATAGTATTAGAATTTTTATTTGATATCTTATTCTATGGCCGCCATTGACTGTAAAGTCTCTGGCAATGCCCTGAATGAGAAGTCACAGTATTCCTCATAAATGAATATAAACATAATGGAGTGGTGACAAATAGGACTATTATAGAAATGCAAGCGCTAGTACTACAAATACTGCTATAAATGTAAAAATACGTAAGCAGTAGTCTAACAGTTCTGCACGTGAAATAGAACTACGATTGTAGTAAACTACTGATTTTTCAGTGGTACACATCGCATTACTCTTCCAAAGTACTACAAGTAGGCCTACTGTAGACGTACTTTCTCCAGGGATAGCAAAAGCCAGTTTATTTAAGGGTCTCCCCCTCCATCAGAAATTATCGCCGACATCGTACATCCGATCTTGACGAAACTTTCCATAAATGTTCGGCACAATGAGTTACGAGAATGAAAAAATTTTTTGTCTCCAAGTCTTACGGTTTAGGAATTTTCCAGAGATCAAGGTCCAAAAAGGACCCTGAACGGCGTCCCAAGATTTTTTAATATACTTCAAGCTGGAGAGTTCGGGTTTGTTTTATTTTAAACTAGACACCTAACTATATCTACTGATCCGCACCGATTTTTGAATTAAGCCTTTATCCGTTTTCCAGACAACCAACAACCTGCGAAACCCGAAAAATCCTCAGTTTGACAAAAAACCAAGACCTAATTCAAAAATCGACGCCGGTCAGTCGATGTAGTTTCTTTTCCCCTTTAAAACAAAAAAAGAATGAACTCTCTACGACAGACTGTTATTAAAAATCTTGGGACGCACTTCAGGTATAACTCTTATATAGTGAAAACGCTGTATTAAATGCTGTATGAAATACTCGATTTTAGGACTTCTAGGGAAATGCCTGTAACTTTTTGACGCAAGGTCATACAGAGTTGTGCGCAGTCTTATTTTGATCAGAAACGTTTGCTCTACAAAGCTGTGTTTTCAGAAAAATTTTAATTGCATAAGTATCCAGGAAAAAA